GGTAAAATCATCCCAAGGGCAGATCTTAACCGCCAAGAGCAAAGGTCACCAGCCAGTTCCCTTCCTACTGGAAGCGGGAAGATCCTTCCCCTTTTTGCAAACTGCCTTTCCATCCGTTTCCTCCCCAAAAATGCTCCCGGATAAGACTTCAGCCCCAACCATCACCTGCCGCAGAGCGCAGCGCATCTCCCTGTACCCACACGTTCCTTCAGGCACACGTCCCGGTAACGCAGGTCCCTGTTAAAACCCACTTTTAGGGTTTAAAAAGTGGCCAGATATGCGAGCGCCACGTGCCCGGGGCTTTCAGACCCACCCATTCCCTCTCCCCTGAGCGGCTCAGGTGGTTCCCGCTCTGCCCACACTGCGTCCCACCCCAACCAAGCGATGGATGGATGAAGGATGGATGAAGGATGGATGAAGGATGGATGAAGGATGGATGAAGGATGGATGAAGGATGGATGAAGGATGGATGAAGGATGGATGAAGGATGGATGAAGGATGAATTCCCCCCCCTACACACACTCTTCTTTTGGCCCCAAGGAGGCCAATGCTGAGCTGAAAACTTCCACGTGAGAAAGCCACCCCCGCTTATCCCAATTTCAGGCCACCCAATTTCAGGCCGCAGGAGCGAGTCAGGTCCTTCCCTACTCCTCGAAACGGGCTGGGGGGAGCGGAGGGTGGACCCCGCAGAGAGCAGTCAGCTCTGGCAAACCCCATCCTGGGATCCCACCGACCCGACGCGCAGGTACAACGCACGGCTGACGGCTGCACCCATCCAGCTGGAAAAGCACCATCTCCAGCTGAAAACGGAGCTTTTTCTGGGGGTACTTTTTGCACTTTGGTAGTTTTTATGGTCCGTTTCATTGTTCATCCGCCCCCGGTGCTTGATGGAGGGAGGAGGACGGCAACAACCTCTGCAGAATTCAAGGTCGGACCAAAGAGGCTATAAAATTATTTTTTTTTTTTCCAAATCAGCAGGATGAGAGCAGCCTCCAGAACCAACCTACAAAACCATTCCAGGCAGGACACAAACCTTCGGCGTTCCTCCCCAAACGGGGATTCACCTCTTGGAGATGTCACCCGTGGCCATGAAGACCATCGCCCCCTCGGCAGAGACCCCTCCCTTTGCTCCGCTCGCATCCAGCCTCCAAAGAAAAAAAAAGCTCTGGACCTTTTCCGTGCCCCAACAGCAGATCGAGTCCCTCCCTCCCCTCACCCCTAGATGTACAGGAACTCGGGGAATAGCTTTGTTTTGAACGGATTTCAAGAGGCGGCTGTTAACTCCAGTTAACCTTGGGATCTCCTCCAGCACTCTTGGCCACGGGCAACCCCCCCGCCTGTCCGGGGGCGAGGAGAGGGCTGAGGAGCATCTGCCACCTCCACGGCAGAGCCCGCCCCACCTCACCGCGGCTGCGCATCCATCGGAGGGTCTCGTGCAGCGACAGCGGACACCCAGCGCATCAGCGGGACGCACTGGTGTCCCACCATCCCTTATCCAACACCCCAGAGAACGTTCCCTCCCTCGTTTCAGCTGCTGGTCTCCGTTCGGGGAGGGCTGTCCCCACCACGCACGGGGTTCACGTGACAGCAGAAGCACCGGCGTGTTGGGAGAAATCCTCCCAAGGACAGTGACAGCCGACCGAATGTGTGTAATTCAAGTATTGCCCCTAAAGTTTGGCCACTTCTTCGACAGCTCCGAATGCCGCAGAACATCCCCATCCACCCCCATGGGGAGCTGCGGGGGGGGACGCAGGCAGGTCTGGGGGGACGCAGGCAGGTCTGGGGGGACGCAGGGGATGGAGCGGTGCAGGACAGCTCTCCTGCCCCACCGCGGAGCAGCGTTGTGCGTTTTCACCCCAGGCAAGCCCACAGTCGGCGGGATGAGCTCCGCACCCATTCCCAGTGCCCGACCAGCACCACCTTTCCCTGCTCTGCTCTCCCTCCCCAACCTCGCCTGCGCCCCTCCAGCCCAGACTGGGGAAGGAAGGAGCCGAAATGCCGTTATTGCCGTGATACCCGGGAGAGGACCGGCTTCTCCCCGGCTCTGGCAAGGGGAGACTCACAGCTCCCCCGTTTCCCGCAGCCCATCACCTATCCACGCGCACCAGCCCACGCCGCGGCATCCTCGCCTCCGGCATCTCTTTTTGGAGGGCAGCTTGTCCGGAGACACGTGCACCGGGTGCGCTGCTCTTCGCTGGCACCGAGTTGGGACAATTCAGGCGCCGGAGCGGGTTCGGCTCGCGGGAAAGTTTTCCTTTGCGGCATACGGATAAGTTGGAAGATTCAAAACTTCAGCAGACGGAGAGCGGAGAGGCAGCAGGGCCGCGCGGGCCGATATTCGAGTTTCACCTGCACAAGTACAGACACTTTTCGCTCCACCGCCGACATTCGCTGTGCGTTTGAACCGAAGCAGTCGCATTTATTCGCGGGCTCCGCTGATAACTCGGTGCGAGCCGTAGGTCTACAGCCGAGGGGAGGGAACGCAGCGGCGGCCGTGGAGGGACGAACGCCGGTCCCCGTGCGGAGGGGAGACGGTGGCTGTAGACCAGATGAGCTCCGGTTTCACCAAAGGTCAGGATATGCTCTTCAGCGCGATGTGGGGCAGCTCCTCCGTCCTGATAACCACTGCCCCAACAGTGCAACGCAAAGTCAGTAGTGAGTAGTGTCCGATGAGGTATTTCTACAGATTTTGAAGCTTAGTTATTAGATTCGGAAGCCAAATCCTTTTTTTTTAAAAAAACAAAAAAACAAAAACCAAACACACTTTTTTTTCCAATACCAAAACCGAGGCCAGAGGTGACGGTGAAGGACGGGAGGGCAGGACGTGTCAGCACCCTTCGCAGCACCGCTCGGCAGAGGCAGACGATCCGAATTTTTCCAGGCTGCTTTAAGATCCACGCCACCGCGTCTAAATTCGAGGACGCAGGTCATTCCGCGGGGCCAAGACCAGAGCCCGAGCAGCTCCCGAGCGCCCGCAGCCGGCTCGGCGGGCACCGACGCCGGGTCCGCACACCCCGGCCACACGCGGCAGCGCCTTTTCAGCCCGCGCTGCTGCAGGACGGAGCGTTTCCTTCGCTGGAGCCGAGAGGAACATTTGCTCCTTTAAATACAGGAGGAAAGATGCTTCTCCGGCCTTCTCCGCATCACTCCGGAACAACTTTAAAACTTGAAATGCAAAGGCTTTGCAGTTGCTGCGGTGGGTGAAACAGCAGCTGGGGATTTGAAGGGGTTGGGGGGGAGTTACTTCAGCCAGTGCCGAGCCCAGAAACGCAGCACCTCTCTCGGCTTTACCGTTTCTGAACCGCTGGTGGTTCCACGGACGTCCCAGGAAGAGGAGGAAGCAGCAAGCAAGCTCGAAGAGATCGGGTGCCGTTCCAGAAGAACCCTCGGTTACCTTGTTTCTGGCTCCAAGTCACCCCAAAGACGCCTCTTAATGCCCCGACGACTCCCGAGGAGGATCCTTCGCAGCTCTACGGAACGCCGCTTCGTTCACAGCTTCTGGACGCGGCCAGAGAAAGGCTAAAAGCGCACATCCCATGGCTCTGCGCGACCGAGACGGACTGCGGCACGTACCTTTGGGCCACGGACTGCCGCAGCAGCTACAGCAACGCCTTTGCCGCTTCCCTGCCCC